GCTCGGGGCTTTTTTCAAAAAATACGATACCAGATATCGCAGTGCATGAGTACTCAAGATATCGATAATATAATTGTTTATTTTTTGTGTATTCAATGTTATTCTGTCTCCGTTTTTAGTTCGTGCACTTGTAGTAATAATTATCGTACAAAAGACGTAAATATAAATAATATATTTAGAGCTAGTAGCAACGATTCGTACCTATTGTTATTGTATGAATCGGGGTATTTTATATGATATTATTGAGCCAATGACATTAGTGGTAAATATTAGAACCCATGAAATGTTTTTTTTTTTTAAATAAAAGTAATAGAATTTTTTGCTTTTACTATAGTGATCAAGAAAGATAAGATATATCCCTAAAAAAGATAAAAAGGAACTCATCTTTTACGTTTTACAGAGATATACTTGTTTCTAAATATAGGGTTTGCAATATTCCAGTATACCACGGATGGTGTCCTTGGCTGAATATATACAAGTGGCTATCGGCGTCGTTCTAAAGTAAATATATCTCGACACTTTACTTTATATTAAAGTAATAAATATGTTAGCTTAAGAATGCCTTTTATAAATTAAGCACGTCCAGTTGATAAGGGCAGCGAATCATTGTTTAAATCAATTTAGTTTTCGCTATAATGTGAATGAAATGCCACAGGGGAGTGGTACCAGCTATATAGCAACTGAATTTTTTACATAAATACACATGCCTATAGTTCCCGAAGGGGTAGGCCTATCGCTAAAACTTTGAAAATTATTTTTCCCAATAATTATTATTTGTTAAGTACCCATACTACGTGACCCATTCAGGGTTGGTGCTAGGTCTTTAAAAATACCACAACTGGTTACAAATGAGACATTTTTTTTAACTGTTTACAAATAATGATTAAAAACCATATCTACGAATTGCTACTTAAAAAATTGAGGGGACTATGAGTGTCTTAGGAAGGATATTATCCGAAGGAGGGGAGGGTGGTAAAAGATGGGTCACGAGGTATGGTTACGTTAGGGAACGTACTAGACATACCTTTAAACTTATAAATATACTTATACAGTATAGGGAGTTGTCTAAATCAAAAATATTGTTAATTCATTATCAATATTTTATTATATTTGGAAAAATAATTATACTGCTGGTACCGCTCAATGTGCAAGAGCAATTTATAACCAAATATTATATTACTTGTTTATTTCAAAACTTAGGATAAGATATTATCCGGATATTATATAATCATTTTGCACTCAAAAATTGATTGATTTGTTTACATACTCTTATAGTAACTCACGCAAGTATTAATATAAAGTTATTTTACATAGTAAGGTGTTAAGGGAAGCACTGACTACCGCCGTTATACGTCTGAGGGTTTAGTATGGGTTTATTTCCTCATCAACTCTAGACGGCGAGTGGAGAATTGCTGCAGATTTTAGCACGGGCCAATCGTGACGATCGAGTTGTAGTGAAATATACTCACACTGGGCCCTCTGAATCCAGTATTTACAGTAGTAAGTACAGCAGACCGCTTTCTACCATTGTAATAGCATAGTACGACTTTAGAATAGTTTGTTTACTGCAGTTTATGAATTCGTGGACAGAGTTGACGTGACGTCACCCTATTTTAACGCGTAACAACCTCACAAAGGACACATGTCAAACTTGTCATTTTAATTTTTATTGGGCATCGGTACCAAGATTCGGCCCAAAAGTTTGCAAAACTAATATTTTTTTTCTTATCTCTTCATCGAGGTTTTACACCAAGACATAAAATAAGTGTAGCAAATCTTATCAGATGAATATTTAACGCGGTCCCCACACTAGGCAAGCCCATATCGTGTGCCATACCCGTTGCCCACCATCAGGAAGCCGGGAAAGCGCACCCTATTTGATTAGGACCAATGATGGTACACATACAGCTAGTGTAAGGCTCGTTTGTTTTTTTTAAATTTAGTTGTGTCTAGCAAGAATTCACTGTATTTCTTGTAGGAATTGCAAAAAAGATTTGTTAATTATTTTTATGTTACTAGAATGTTAGTATTTTTTTATTAAAAAAATTGGTTCTATTTCACTAAAATCATTTAGAAGGATATGATGAATAAGATAGCATAGACAAGGAGTGTTTTATTTTACTACTATTTGTAACATATTGTAATATTTCTCCGATTTTAATTCTGCAGTTAACGAATCTATTCTATAAGTACTTCACTTAAGTATTCTCAACAAAATAAAAAAATAATAAATTGTCAAGTTTTCCTACTGTTCATATATTATGTATTGACTGATTGTTTTTATAGAATAATTGTTTTGTTATAATTATGCAAATATTTTAAAGAATCTCTTTATTTTCCAAAAAAATCGTGCAATATGTTTTTTTATATTATATAAATACTGTTTTTTCTTATTTAATTAAGTTTTATAAAGATAGCAAAATAGTTGGCGTTGTAATTTTTTTTAAATGACTTAATTACCAAATATAGATCGGATTTGCTATAAATAATTTAAAAACATTAATATTATTTAGGATTACGGTGAATTTGTGTCGACAGTTTTGGTGCACTCCATAGGTCCTTCTATTGTTGACATTTGCTTCAATATTAAAAAAAAATAAACGCGGTAACAATCATCAGTTCAGATTTTCATATTTATATATTTGTAAACATTCAAGTTACGCATTTTATTCTTAATAGCGTCCACCAATAGTAACACCAACTATTTTGATATACTAAAATTGTATTGTTTTTTCCTTGTGGTTAAAATACATACGAAATGTGATGACCGTCGTAGTACATAGCGATAAGTACATTGTTGTAGCGAATGTTGGACGTCATTCCCATTAAAACTACATTTTACACACATTTTTATTTTATTTCAACCATTAGTACCAGAAATAACTAATAACCTACCTAATAACTATTGAAATATCCATTTCCGAATACATCTAGGTAATATTATATTTTTTACAACTACACACCAATAATTACTAGTTCATTAGTAGAATGCAAAAAATCTACCATTTAAAAAAAACATGAATAGAATTAAAAAAACAATATAGGTAGGTAAACATTTCTATGAGTTAGTATACAATTCGCGCCAAAAGTTTTTAAATCAATTTGATTTTATTGGCTCAAATAAATTAGAATCTGACAATAAAAATAACAATATGGCACTAAAGACTTGTTAGTACATAGGGAAACCATTTATAAATCAGTTTCAAAGAATATGATTAATTAAGGTCCTATTATGTGTTGGCAGATTTTATAACGACAATATAAGAATGTTATTAATAGGCAGATGTGCGAGTAAACTTTTTTTTAGAACCACAGACTAATACAGTACTCGAATACTTTAAGAACTGATACAGTTTTAAAAATATGCTAATAAATATATTTTACAATAGACATTATGAATAATATTGTGACAGAAAGTTACCCCAGATGTAGATAAGTCTTCTCTTTAAAAGATATCGGCTTGGCTCTTTAAAGTTGTTAGTAAGTGATCTTTACTGGTTAGATTTTGTAATAATTTAACAACTAAAAATCGACTAACTAACTAAATTATTATTAGAGATTAGTGTTGTAAATACACGATGTATCTACACAATATCTAGTGAATCTCATCAAATTTGTCGTCTTCGAATAGACTGTGGTGCTAAATCCTATACCTTATAAATCTAATATTATTATTTTGCATTAATTATATTTAACAAACCAGGTGAGTTAAATTCACACAATTACATATTAAGTGCACTCTTAAATAACAATAAATTAAGAAGTAAATCTTCATGTTGTTTCTTAGTTCTTCCAGATGTTTAGTACGCAGCATATTAGTCCAGCAAGATGTCAGCTATTAAAGAGCTGCCTGTACTGATGATGGACGAAGCCATGACACAATGAGTGAAGTGTGCAATTTACTAAAATGAATGAAAGATGTCACGCAGCGTGATGTCTATGGTAGCTCTGGTGCCTCGCTGCCGTCTCGTTCCACCTGCTGTGAATGACCTTAAGTGAACATCTGATTGATGACGTCATGCTCCATGCATGCATCGTGAATGATACATATACAGAGTGTAAGGGACAGCGTAACTATGGCAATTTAGAGAATTCACTATTTCGCTTTTCTGGACGCCATCCATTACATCCTGTATGGAGAATCTCTTTCAGAGGCGGATCCAACTTTTATTTCACAGCTACTTGTGTGTAGTCAGAACTTACGATAATCTCTAATTTGATTTCTTATCTTAATCGTACGAACTATACCAAGCCCAGGGAGAGCCGTCAATGATCCCCATGATCCTACCTGGATCCGCCATTGAGACAAACATATGTGATAGTGTGTGTGAAGGAATACGTATCTAAAAATGTTTCTTATGTTCTGGATTGTAACGTACTAATTTCTACATCAATATGAACTTACTCCTGCCTTCTAAACAGCTGATTTAGTTGCAGGAGTTCAAATTATGTGGTTCTCTACACTAGTATACTTTAAACAAATAAAGCTTTACTAGTAGAGATATGCTAATGAGTGGATTCCGATTGAGTAATTTTTAGCAATGCGCAAATTGACTTTTACCAAAAAAAACTTAACATATAGATGCTGATCTATATAAACGCGAATAAGGGTATGTTCCTGAGTAGTATGGACATAACCGTGAATATTTGTCCGCGTACGAATAGTTTGGATAGTAAGAATACCGATAATATCGTGAGAACGGGTACTTTAGATAGGAATAATAGTATGGGTATTTGTCCAAACATGAGTAATAGGAATGTGGATACTTGTCCAGATATGAATAGTATTCGTATGGATACCTGTCCCAATACGAGTCATATGAGTACGGGTATCGATCTAAATACGAGTATTTATCAAGATGTGAATACGAGTGGTATCGGTATGGGTACTTTGCCGAATAGTATGGATACCGATACTTCGATGAGTATGAGTAATATGGATACCCATACTTTGAGTAATATGAGTATGGGTAAGAACGTGAGTACGTGTAATCTAAGGGTCATGCTAAGATGTCATCCAAATCGGCGTCAAGAGCCTGAAAAAAAGATGTCCCATCAATATTGTATATTAACAGTAGGTATTATTTCATCTCGGTGACAAGTAATTGAGTAATAAAGAGTATTACTGACTGCAATGCATCTATATCACAACAAAATTTAATTTTGATCCCTCTGAGATTAGAGATTTTTTTTTTCTTTTAATTTTTTCAACTGGGACCAGTAATACATACCTACATATAGATATCCCTTTTTTAAAGTCTTTAAAAGAAAATTGTAAGTATATAATAATATAATTTATTGTCTGTCTCTTCAATGTCTATCACTTATCGCAAGGAAAAGTACCAGCAATTTATGATCATTAAAAAAATAATAGTTTCCTGTATTAATGATGCCTATTTACCTTTACGTCAAGGTTATTCACTGCTTCCTCCAGGGCCCGCAGTCCAGGGTCATTGGGGGAGAAAGCCCGGCAATCCTCTCTGAAGAACTTCTTCATCTTCTGCAACAACTCGTCATTCCGGCGTCGGATGCGTTCCTTTGCGCATGTTGCCACTATGTCATCGGTGGAATCCATTTTGTAGTTCTGAAAACTAATAGATAAACTTTTTTGAGCTTTTCATTTGACTTTGATTATCATTCTATCGTGGGAGAGCCATTTTTCAGCACAAATAAGTCAGCTCGACCTTAGTGAAACAGGGCCTCACAGAAACCCGCTGTTAAGCAGGTTTTTCCTTGCTTTTCACAGAGTAGTTTCGGGAACCCAAACCCGCCTTCTTTTGCCCTCTCATATTAGAGGGGGCAGACGAGCAGACGGGTCATCTGATAGAAAGCGACTATCACCGCCCATAAACTTCTGCAACTCAGGAGTCACAAACGCGTTGCCGGCGTTTTAGGAAGGAGGCGCTCTTTTCTTCAAGGTTTGAAGGTCGTATCGGTCCGGAAATACCGCAGACGATAACTTGTTCGTCAGAAAAAGTGACTAGAATAGCGAACAGTAGTGGAGCGCCAATTATCCAAGTGATGGGGATAAAAAAATTGCCGTGTAGAACGACACCACGCCCTTTGTATTCCTGAGTACGGAGTGTCATCACCCCTATTCATCCGGTGCATATCGTAAGAGCCGGCTAAAGGAGCAAACTACGCAGGATGACTGCTAAGAGAAGGAAAACTTGCAACAAACCTAATACCAACCCGTCTAGCCAGCGTAACGGCCTATGTCCAGCAGTTGACTTTTAAGTGGGCTGTTGATGTGATGAGATGTGAAAGTACAGCCTGAATTGTCCTCTATTTTCAATTTTATGTTTTCATTAATATTAAATATTAATAATTTGTCAATAGCGTATGACGTCACATCATAGTATTCCATACAAAAATGTACAGCGTCAATCGTTTCGACGTTTAATAAAAAGATGGTCATTTGACTTGACAGTTCCCTACCCCACAGCGGGTACATGAAAATTATAGTAATAGTTTTCATTATTTAATCCAGTTATCCTGCCCATGGCGCATACAATAGATACAATTATTAAAATATAGGTACATGCATTAAGTAATAAAAAGTTAGGTATGTCAATATGGATAACAATTTCACAGGAATTACAAACAGGCAATAATAATAAAGAAATACAAAATACTATAATATATACTAATTAGTAAACCAGCTACTATTACTACTAGTAAACTAAAAAACAATTATATTTAAGTAATCCTTTCGACAAGATTTCGCTGACAGCCGATAACTTGAACTCTGATAAGTTCTATTGGTTTGTGTTATCTGTCAAATGAGTTGGCGAGGTCACAGTACATGTCAACTGTCTGTATCAGACTTAGATAAGTATCAAAGTGCAGTTCCTATGTTTACATAAAACGGTGCATTACTGACCCTAATTGATAGCATTTAATCAACCTTTAACCATAGACAAATGATATATTAAAAAGCGATTAGATTATAGAGAATAGAGATAGGTAAAAGGAATAAAACTTATAATAATGCGTCTCACCGCCGTCTGATCCTAATCTAGGCAAAACCTGTGCAATGGTAACCAGACTGCCGATAAATATACTTAAATATTACTAAATATGTTTTATTTCTATAAATATATTATAGATTTACACCCAGTCAGAATAAATGATCGCGCTCATTACACAATTATTTTCCCTGGATGATAATCGAACCTACGACCTCCGGCTTAGCAGTTCGTGTCACGAACCACTAGACAAAGGCCCGTCAAATGTAATGATGGCATATCGACCAAGTATCCAACAGAAACCAGTAAATAATGGCACTAGTACAGGCAAACTGCCTGAGATAGGGCCAGTTAGGTGTGGCGTCGAACTGGGGGGCACCTGACATCACATGGCTCGGGTTCTCGCTATAGTAGGGCGCCTAAGCTGGCCGCCGGGGTGGTTTTTAGTGGAAACACCACATACTCTTGACTCCTATGTCCCAAAGGAGCCGGAGATCCGAAGGAATTTCCCACCCCGTCACCAAAAAAAAAAGTATAGGCAAACTGAATTACTTTTTTATGTTACATGCAGGCGAACGAGCAGACTGGTCACCTGATGGTAAGTAACTACCGCCATCCATGGACACCTACAACTCGGGAGACACAAGTTGGGGGGGGGGGGGGGGGGGGCGAATAGGTTTGGGTTTTCCGTTAACCTCACTCACTCGGCTAAAAGCAACGAATTTCTTAACAGCGATTTTCTGTGAGGCCGTGGTGTCACTCTGGTGGAGACGGGCCATACGTACAGAAGCCTGGCTCTCCCATGATAACTTGGCAAAAGAAGAAAGAGACTTAACGAAAGAATAAAACAAAGTTAAATGTGCTGAATATAAATATTTGTTTGTCACAATCATAGAAATCGTAATAATAAGTATCTTATTATTACTATTTCTGTGGTCAAAATGCACTAAATCTCAGTCTTCAGAACCTCAAACTTTCTTTTTTCATTTTAAAAGACAACTGTGCCGCGCTGGACTTCACAAACATACATGAAACGAACACAAAGAACACCCAGACTCAGAACAGCAATTTGTGTATTACACAAAGTGTTGTCCCATGTGGGGATCGAACAGTAGAAAGCGGCGACGGTAATACTTATGTAAAAACTATATTTTTAGTGTTGCTGTTTTTGTCTTCATTTATTGTGTCAATTTAAAAAGGTCTAGCAAGGACAACTATACTGCATATGGGTCTGATTACCTAAAAGGGGTGATGATGTACTATTCTATTATTTCTACCTACCCGACACTAAAACATAATATGTAGGTAGTAAATGCATATGTGTTATACACACATACAGACACACTACATATAATATGTAAATTTAAATGAATTCTAACCGGCGAAGAGAAGATACGTAGTCAGATGGAAAAGCGTCCATAGTCGCTTTCAACTGGTCCCAAGGATCGCTGAACCTGCGGTGTCTTACCTGAAATTGTATTTATGTACGCTTAATTAAACTAGATATTACTTAATAAGAAGACAAAAATTCTACTCAGCGTAAATTTCTCACTAATCACTCACTCACTAACTCAGATTAAATGACATAAACAAGAAGAGGTTGTATTTGATTTTCCCGCCCATCTGTGTCAAAAATCTTAATGTAAAAAAGAAATCCAATTCAGATAAATTTAAATTGTTATTTAGTAACTTAATCAAAACTAAAATTCTCAAGATTCTAACAAATACTCACCCTCCTGGAGTATTCATAATCGATCTCCGAGTCAGTCATGGCCCTGGATAGCGGTAAGGTTGTGTCAGTGCTGAGGGTGGCCCTATCGTCGTCCATGCTATCGGGGACTATGCTATCACTTTTTACCGAAACAGATTCATCCAGTTCCGTCCAAACATAAGGTTCGAGGGTGATCTCGGGGATTTCCAAGTCGTTAACGTATTCCGAACGATTTTTCGGTATAGATTTTAGGAATGATTGAAACATGTTCATTTTGGATATAAATCAGATTATACTAGAGACAATGATATTTTATAATCATTCGTCAATCATTTATCAATCAAGATGAAAAATGTTTTTAAACAGATTTTTAACTCAAAATGTTGTTGAACATTTGATTAGCTTCATTAAATCCAAACACTAGGGTTAATATTGTTAGAAAATATTTAATTTTCCAAAATTCTTAGGTAAACAGTTGTGGAAAATTAATAATCGATAACCTCAAAACGTGTTCAAGAAATTATTAAATTCTCTAGTCGATCACCATTTTAACTTCTAAACTTAGTTAGTTTACAGAAAAGTAACTTTTTAACTAAAAATATAGTGTTGTACTTAATTGAGATAAGAAAATTTAAATGATATTTAAAACAAAAATTACCCCTCTCGGGAGTACTTAGTGCAATATACAATTACAACTCACCGCGTTTGATGTTTTTATTATTTCTTATAAATAATGATGATTGTGTAACATGGGAGAATTTTTATGAATTATACAAATAAAAATGATCATGACACTAAACTTGTTTGAAAAGCGCCTAGCGCATAGATATTAATTTATTAAAATTCATCATCTCAGTTCGTCTTTACCTTTTTTATAAATAATGTTAATTTCGATTCTACTAGCATTCGTTTGCAAGAAAGTTCTAATAACTTCAATACTACACAATACTCACTCAAAAGAAACGCAGCTAAAGTTAACCACCAACAAAAAACAACTCAATCAAATTTTCAATCACCCTAAATATTTGACAACCTAAAAACAATTAAGAAAAAAAAACAAATTATTGTTGCTGTCACTGGCACATAGACACCCAAAAATTTAAAAAGAAATGTCGCAACCAGTCACTAATGAAAGTAATACCTCGGCTCTGTAAACACGTGTCAATTCACGTACGTTCTGCCATAAGAGTGCCAATCGAGTCCTTTGTAAGCAATGTCGTAACAGTGGCTTGTTCGATACGTGATCGTCGCCAGGCAACTCGATAACAGCTCGCGGTATACCCACGTCTGCAAGGTTACCTTAACCATAAAAAAAATGTATTTGTATCTAAATTACCATATTGATAGACTGTGACATGCAAATGTTTGCAATGAAATCGTTATTGATATCGCAGTGTCGTGTCTCCTCCGCCAGGAATTATTGCTGCTATGCTAGCGGGTGAGGAGGGATGGGGCGCAGTGGTCTCTTTCTGAGAAGTTATGTATATGCTCCAGTCCTTTAATCTACATTAAATGCACAACGTATCTAACGTATTTAATTGGATAAGGAATAATAATGTATTGTTTAAAGTAGCTTCGTAAATAACCCATTATTTTTGTGTAATATTTAAAAGATAAAAATGGTTACTGTGGTTTATCCTTAGGAGATAGACAAACCATCGCGGACTTTTTTGTAGGTATGTTTAAGATATACAATTCCACAAGAACATTATTAAGGTCAATCTCGTAACTTTTCGCGTTTGTAATTTAGGCGCACAAAAACATGTGTAAAACGACAAATTTTGAAATTTTTGGCTTTTGTCTACCATAATATGCATATACATATTATACATATAAACCTTCCTCTTAAATCACCCTCTTTTTTGGTGAAAACCGAATTAAAATCCGTTGCTTAGTTTAAAAGATCTTAGCGTACAAGAAGAAAAAGCGACTTTATTTTATACTATGTTAAGATTCAAATAAATAAGTTACTACGACCAATAGGAATCTAGCATCATTTTCCAAAATGCTGCTTGGCTCCTCCCAATTTGGAAGTGTTTAGAATTATATAAGTATGTTTATCAGAAGTCTGATTATGACAATGCAGGTTGTATTACGTTGTTTCAATAAAACGGCCTTGTGTGAAACACATCAAGTTATAAGATACATTATTTAGCGACTTGTTGTCAAGTCAGAATAAAAAATTCGCAGAAATTCAATTGCGATCGTGTCTTAAAGGGACAGATAAAACTCGTTGCTAAGAATGTTGTTGCTTAAAGAAACTTGAAAAAAGTATATGATTGCAAAAAACTGTTATCTTGGATTGCGAGTTTGTTTCATTTTTAGCCTATACAAAACACAAAAAAAGTAAAGTGCCTTTTTTTTTTTTTTTTTTTTTTCCGTGCGGAAATCCCCTCGGATACCACCTGTCGTTGGCATGTCGGACTCGAACCGACTAAAACCGCACGCCTTCGCCGGGTACTAATTGCCGGGGAACCAGGTATACCCTAGAAAGGAAGGCCCTGGTGCCCCGACATACCTCGGGTCATCTACAGACGAGTAGACGACCCCCGCCCCGTGTGGGAACCCCATGTTCCCTGTGCTCCCTGGAAGCGAGCGCGCTTCGCAACGCGCTCGCCGCCACCCCGGCCTGCTTCTGCTAGGGTGACAGATGGCCTCACCTGTCACCCCCAGGCCTGCGCTTATGGAGGACGGAGGTCGTTCTGCGACCTCCGGCGCCTGAGTCGCCTGCGCTGCCTGGCCCGTGCCCGGGCCTGGCGGGCCGGGAGAGTTCTAAACCTCTCCCGGTCCCGCTCCGCCGTCTCCTTCGCGAGCATAACTTGCTCGCAGAAGGAGACGGCAGAGTTCCACGCACTCTCGCTCCGCACGATAGCCGCAATCAGGCTATCGAGCGAGAGAACTCCCACTCCGATGGCCGCCACGAGGTCTCGCCTCTGCTCAACCCACGCCGGGCACTCTGCCAGCGTGTGGAGAGCCGTGTCCACGGTCTGGCCATCGCAGTGGTGGCACCCAGGCGTTGGCTCCTTGCGGATCAGACACAGGTGATCTCCGAAACATCCCTTCCCAGTGATCACCTGCGTCAATCGGTATGAGAGGGTCCCGTGACGCCTCTCGAGCCAATCCTCCATAACGGGTCTTACCGCCGCAATGACGGCGTGCCCAGCGCTCGGTTGCCCGAGTCGTTCCCTCCACTCCCCTATGATGACCTGGCGGAGTTGGGATTTCCGGTCATCGATTTCTCGAATCTCGGGGCATCGACCCAACTCCTGCGCCTCCTTGCGCCACTGATACAGTGCCGCAAGGGCTCTCGCCTCCAGGTCCCACGGTGGAGTTCCGGCCAGGAGACTCGCTGCCTCAAAGGAGATCGTGCGGTACCCCCTTATGATCCTGATGGCCAGCATTCGCTGCGGTCGTCGCAGTATCGCGACGTTGCTGGCCTTCAGGGCCCCCGCCCATACCGGGCACCCGTAAAGGGCCATGGACCGCACAACCCCCGAGTAGAGTCTCCTGCAGGAGTCATCGGGTCCCTTCATGTTGGGCAGCAGCCGCGCCAACGCACGCGCTGCCCCAACCAACTTGGGGACCAGACCTCGGAAATGATATCCGAAGTCCCATCGGCCATCGAGTACGAGCCCCAGATACCTGATCGAGGGCTCGATGCCGATGCGAATGCCTCCTACCGTGAGGCTAGATCCCTCAGGCGGCTTCCTCCGAAGCCCGTGGAAGAACAGGGCCTCGGACTTGTGTAGAGCCACCTCGAGACCCAGCCGCCGGATACGCTCAACGACTTGGGCAACCCCGGCCGTGGCCCTCAGGGTTGCCTCGTGGTGCGTCTTGCCGCGCGCCGTCACGAGTGTGTCGTCCGCGTAGCACACGACGGCGACACCATCCAAGAAGGTACCACGAAGCACCCAGTCGTAGCCGATGTTCCACAAGAGTGGCCCTAACACCGACCCCTGCGGAACACCGCACGACATTTCACGCCTACCGAGACCGGTCCTACTGGGGTAGACGACGGCCCCGACTATGCGGCGGAGGTAGAGAGGCACTTCGTGATACACGAGCGCCTCCCTGATGCAGCTCCAGGGCATAGTGTTGAACGCGTTGGCGATGTCCAAGGACACCGCCAACACCACTTCACCCCGGGAGACTGCTTCCTCCGCCAGAGCCTTCACGCGCATGATCGCATCCACGGTGGAGCGCCCCTGATGGAAACCGTACTGGTTGTCCGCCAGATCCGGCCCAACCATCACGAGATGCTTGACGAGGCGCCTTGCAATCACTCTTTCAAAGAGCTTGCACACCTCGTCAAGCAACACTATGGGCCGGTAGGCGGACGGTGAGTCCGCCGGGCGCCCCTCCTTTCGGATGAGGACCAGTTTCCCCGTCCTCCACAATTTCGGAAACTGGCCCCGCTCGAGGCATGCGCTGAAGAACCCTCGCAGCCAGGGCTCGAGAGCCTCGTCGACTAAGGCCAGGACCCACGCTCGGCCAGGAATGCCATCGGGTCCCGGGGCGGTGTTTTTGGCTTTAAGCCGTAACACCGCCACCCTTAGTTCCACCCCAGTGACCTCAGGCACGTCGTCGTCATCCACGTTAGGCGCCTCAAGCGCCGGAGGCGGAGCCATCTGTGGCGGAGTATGCTCCACCACTCGCGTTGGGAACAGGGAGCCAACGACCCTCTCAAGCAGCTCTGGCTGAAGACACCGTGTGAGCGGCGGGGCCCATGGGCGCATCTTGCCCCTAACCATACGGTAGGGGCGTCCCCACGGATCCCGCTCCAGTGTCTCCAGCATCTCGCGGCGGGCCTCGCTCTTGGCCCGCTTTATCGCTGCCTGAAGGGTCCTCTTGGCAACCCTGTAACCCTCTAACAGCTCCGCCTCTCTCGCTGCCGCATCTTCGGGACGGCGACGCCTCCTGCGGAACCTGGACCACTGGCGGCGCGCGGTCACGCAGGCTTGACGCAGCCGTGCGATCTCCGGCGACCACCAGTAGACCCGGCGCCTTGCAGTATTGGGCTGAGCCCTAGGCATCGCCGCATCGCAGACGCGGGTCATGGCCTCCCGGAACCACTGTGCTTCAGCATCGACGTCGACAGGCCTGTCCGGCGCAGGAGCCCAGGCCTGTACGATGGCGGCTTCCAGGAGGAGGTCGCGATCTAAGCGCTTGAGCGCCCAACGTGGTTCAGGTGGTGCCGGTCTGACCGGCGCGCCATCTGCAGGGGCGGAGACGTCAAACCGAATATATCGGTGATCCGAACCTGTCTCCTCCCC